ACCGCACCGAGCTAGGAACTCGTCAAAGAGATAAGTGAAGTCAAGCCCTCGACAAACGTTCTATGGAAAGCGGTTACACTCTCACTCCTCGTTCTGTCTTGGCCTATCAATCTATTCTTTACCCTCTTACTGCCCCCCTATCACAACTTCTCACTTGTTTACATTCCACTCGTCAAAATGTGTGCCCTTTTGTGGTAAATCTCATCACATTTGCTATTTACTCCTACCCCCCTCTTTCGATCGGCTTATCCGACTCGAGACTTCAATCCGAATCCCTTGATTGTCTCGTGGATCCGTTCCTTATCTTTCTGGTTGACCGATTTCATTCGGTTCCAGTCCCCGTGTGCATTTCACTCCAGACGCTATTTCTGAAGGCCCTAGAAGCACGTACCTGCCGCTTCACTGAGCAGAGCGCCTAAGCTCTGATTGCCATGCTTGTAGATATCAGGCCTGCCCTTCATGGGTCCTCTCCTTGATTAAACCCATGCTATCTGAGCAAACTGTGGACGCCTATCTCTGGTCGCATGCGGCATCATAAATGGATTTCTAGTACATTTTGGCCATAATGCCGAATTTACGTGACGGTTTGCTTATCCGCTGTTAGCTCCCTGACTGCCAGGCCCCGAAAGTTGTACTGGTTTATTCTAAATGGACATCACTTACTGACAACGCCCTCGCTTTATTGCCGAGAACCCCATCCCCCACTTTCTTCATCGCGATCCCTTTTTCTTTCAGTTAGCGGTAGATCCTTGATGCAGGCGTCTCCTTTTTGCTGATCTTGCTCCATTATCGTTTCCCATGACTTTGCTTAGGCAGTAGGCAAAGTTATCGCTACCTCTACCTTCCTCTAATCTCATGTTCATTAAATTTTTCTTACCTAGGATGTTAATGGCCTCCCTAATCTTCCACTTCCTTGTGTTGTCACCGTATAGAGCTATTCTTTCTGTTGCTTTTCAATTGATCTCGTGTCCAGTATGTGCGATAAGTTCCGCTAGTTCTTACCCTTCGGTATCCATTTTCCTGTAGAGCCTCTAATGTTCCTTGAATTGTGTGGTAATTTTTCTTCCTGCTTCGCCAATATATTTCTGATCGCATGCGCCGCATTAAATCCAGTGAACTCCTGAACAATCCAATTTTTCTACCCTTTCATGTTGCGTTGGTAGACTTGTGAAAAGTGTTGATTTCTCTTTCATAATCACCTGAATATTCCATTTACTCAATATTGGCTATAGTTTTTAAGTTAGTTCACAGGAAGGTGAGCATATCCACTTTTGTGAATCCTTCATCGTCCTTGCTGTTTTTTATAGTCCCTGTTCTGCCATCGGCTTTTCACGGCCCGTATGTTTCCTTGTATCACTTTTCTAGAGTAGCCATTGCCAAGGAATATCACCGTCAAATTGTCCAGCTCCTCGTCCCAGAATTATACATCCGTTAAGCGTAGGCTTTGAATAATCATGCTCCTCATTATT